CTCGCCCCCTGGCGCAGACACCGCTCTTACCCCCCCGTGCCCAGAGACCACTATTACCACCCCGTGCCCAGAGACCGCTATTATCACCCCGTGCCCAGAGACCGCTATTATCACCCCGTGCCCAGAGACCGCTATTATCACCCCGTGTCCAGAGACCGCTATTATCACCCCGTGTGGCAGGGGCAGTGACTTACACCTCTGAATTCCAGTCCCCGTTCTGTTTGGCATTCTCGTAGATGCTTTGCATGCTCTGACGAGGGTTGTCCACCTGGAAGAGACAAGTAGCGGGTCCGTGTCATTGTGGGACGGCTGTGTGTGACCAGCATTGCTTTATATGACTCTGGACCCAGAAGTCAGAACCAGAACCAAGGCCGGGCCCCGGGCTAGACAGCAGAGGCGGCCACCCTGGGTGTTAAAAGGGCGGGGGGAGGGGTGATGCACTTTGTAGCTAAAGGACCTTGTCCCGGTACTTGTATTCAATAGTAAATCTCACAGGGGAGACTGAGGAAACGCTTCCTCCTGCCTGCAGCAGACTGATCACTGGGGGGAGGGGAGAAAGGACCTTGTCCCGGTACTTCCTGCAGCAGACTGATCACTGAGGGGAGGCTGAGGAAACGCTTCCTCCTGCCTGCAGCAGACTGATCACTGGGGGAGGGGAGACTGAGGAAATGCTTCTTTCTTGTCTGCAGCAGACTGATGACATCACCAGAGCCTAGAAAAAGTCACTGACTGGAGCTTCAGGGCGGCTTTCTAATGATAGAAGGCGGAGCTTGTCTGTACAATGATCCCGTCGTTGTACGTTGTCACGTCAGGAATGTCTCCTGCCGTTGTCCCCACCAATAATTGCAGACACTGGGAGGGGGAGGAGCCTCCATCAGTGCGGCGGAGCACATGTAGAACTGTCTCTGATGTCATCGGCTCATGTAAACCCGCTGAGCCTCCCCTCCCCCCAGTGATCAGCCGCTGAGCCGTCATGGCTGCCGCCCGCGCAGGGGAGGGGTATGCGGCCCCCTCCTCCCTCCTTCACTCACCTGTTTGATGATATTCTCTATTAAGGTTCTGAAGAGAGGACTGGACCTCGCCACAAACTTCTCATCACCTGAAAGAAGGAGAGGGGTCATGTGACGCGGCCCGCTTCATGCCATTCATGGGGAATGAAAATTGGGGGGGTGACGATACCTAGAAGCGGGGTGTCCAGGCTCATGTACGTGGCGGCTTTGAGGTGCAGCATGCTGAGGTACCCCTGCGATATGCACGCAATGATACAATGTATATTAATGACACAGATCTCCAGAGATACAATGTATCATCATCCTCATCATCCTCATCATCCGCCCACCGCGCTCTCTTACCTCCAGCCATTCCGTGGCCCCGATACTCCCGAAATCTCCTCCGTCCCAGCTCACGAAGAGGATACTGCGCCGCGGCTGGAACCCTGAAACACATGAGAGGCCTTACTATACAGAATGAAATCTGACCTCCGGCCTCCCCTTCAGTCTTCTATCTGACCTCCGTCCTCCCCTTCAGTCTTCCATCTGACCTCCGTCCTTCCCCTCAATCTTCTATCTGACCTCCGTCCTTCCCTTCAGTCTTCTATCTGACCTCCGTCCTTCCCCTCAATCTTCTATATGACCTCCATCCTTCCCCTCAATCTTCTATCTGACCTTTGTCCTTCCCTTCAGTCTTCTATCTGACCTCCTTTGCCCTGTCCTCTGCATCCTATGGGGGGAGGTCGCTATCTTATCAAGGAAAACACATCTTCTCTATAAGATCTCTCTGACCCGGGCAGACGTGTGAAAGAGACGGGGTTTCCCCCGGGACTGTTGATGTTGGATGTTCGGGGCTCCTGTGTAACATGTACATGGAGGCCGCCATGTCTGAACATCACATATGTCAGGTGTCTTCCCGGGTTCCCACTCTCTGGCCTCCTAGCTGAGCTCTGCACACCGATACTCACCGCCTTCCACCATCAGGGTCATGGAACGCATCAACTCCAGCAAGATGGCCGTGCCCACTCCAGACTTGGCCGCCCCCGGCCCCCAGGAGTCACGTTGGGCGCCCACCACGATGTAATGCTCTGAATACATGGAGAGAATGTAGATATGAAGGCAAATAAAACCGATATGGAGCCCCCCCAGTGCCCCCCCCCCC